ACTATAGTTGCGTAGTTATGATACTTTTGTGAGGTTCTCTAAATGTGATGGTAATAAATGATTTTTTAATTTGAATATGAAAACGAGAACTAAATAATATATGAAATTTTTCACATCCAACCACTGCAATTCTTCTAACGTAGACTTAATCCTAGCATATTTGTTTTTATTTAAAATGATTCTCATAGCTTTACTTTGTAGAATTTGTAATTTTGAAAATATGCTTTCATTTGCTGTAAACAAGATGGTTGAACAAATAAAAAATGGGGGATAATTATAGTATTATACAATTTTTTGGAATACATACTAAGATTATGGGAAACACTATAGGAGTAATTTATCTTTTTCGAAATTTTTGAAATAATGTATTCATAATGTTCGTGAAACAGTAGCTTACTATCCACATATATACCAAGATATTTAAATGACTCGACTAATTCAGTTTTTTCATCATTAATCATGAGCCTAACTGTATTGTCACCTAAATGTATCCCTATTGACATACATTTTGTTTTATTAGTGTTTAATTTAAGTTTATTGACATTTAACCAATTCATAATTTTTCAACATCACTGCCCTATAAAAAACATCAAAATAAGAGCCACTGGGTTTGAAAAAGTTGCGTTTCGAATAATTCGACACTACGTTTAAATCATAATGGATTAGAGTGGCGGATTTTGTGGATTGAAGATGTATACATCTGGATGTCATCAGCCTTTGCTTATGTCACATGCATGCAGGAAGACAAAAGACGTAAATAGTCCCTTGCGCTACTCTAAATGTAATATTTCTCAATACAAAGAAAGACTTGAGGAATATTTGATGAAAGACAATGAAAAACCGTGCACGTGTCCGCAATAAAGGAACAGGAGCAGGAATAAAAAAATTGGTAATACAAGCGACGAAAATTTCTGCTTATTTTCTTCATCAGGTCCAAATGGGTGTGTGGTGTTCTGACTGAAGCCACAAATGTACTTGCTTGTTCTTGTTGGTGGTTTCTAGTTGTATTTCTCTTTCCATCCATTTTTTTCTTTAGGCTTCACTCGTATGCGGCACGGGAATCATGTGAAAAACCTACAAAATGTCAGAAAAAACCTATAAGATGTCAACTTGCATACTAGGTAGTTTTTAGGGCACAAACAGTCATTTCACGTTTGCTCACTAGACTAGGATCGTTGTGAACGTCCATCTATGGACGAATCACTCAACTAAACTACGCATTATTGGTTGCATAGTTTTGTGAGGTTAAGTGATCCGGGTCTGAAGTTTTTATCTTTAAGAAAGTTGGTTGAATAGCAAGATCGCATCTGGATGATTATGTGTATTGGTCTGCATGTGTATAATTCAGTGATATTTGCTGTGTGAGAAAATCATTACCGAATATGACGGGTTGTTTATATGTTGTTCTTTCTGAAGAGAGGTTATGTTCAAAGTTATAAATTACGAAAAACTGAGGAAATCATCACCGCGCCCGCGTTGTGTAATTACTGTTAGCATGTATACCTACAGTGAATATAATTATTTATTATCTCTCTCATTTTTGAAATTCAGCAAATTTTTTTTTTGAAATAATTCTTTTAAACACAATAATACAAAAAGTATAACCAGTTTTAACAATAATTCCCCAATCAGTGTTTGCAAACACTGGCCCCGAGAATAACAAGACAATAATCAACATCTATGAACTACAGGTTCACTGAAATTTTGCTCATAATTTTAACAAATAAATCCATTAACAACATTTGTATATGTAATTTCAAGAAAGGATAAGAAAAAGTGGATGCGCAACTAATTTCTAGCTTTGAATCTCAATTAAGTGTATTTGAGACAAGAACCCAATGTAATTATCATCCACACATACAACTTACAGCTTAGACCTTCAGTAATGCCATCTGAGAAGCAGATTTTACATCACATCAGAGCCAAAGATTGATAACAAGCCTCATGACGTTTAGGCAACACGTACAACTAAGTGCTAAGTTAACATCTTGTAGAATAACCTACATAATGTCAAAAAAAACAGCATAATGTCAAAAAAATCGGCATAATGTCACTTTTCAAGATACGTGATACCCGTGCGGATGTGATGGGCATATATTTTCACTTCGGTGTTTTTGATGGATATCCAATTGATCCATGACTGTCCTTTGTTTTCCATCAAATTTTTCTCAAGACTACTTGTCTTTCTTTATATTGAGGAATATTACATTTAGAGTAGCGCGAGTGTTTTACGTCTTTTACCTTTCAGCATATATCTAAGATAATCAAACGCTGATGACATTCAGATGTTCGCATCTTCCAATCGGTCACTTTTGGTCGGGAACGTCATTGACTAAAAAATGACGTCTTTATTGACGCCATTTTTATGACGACAACAAGACGTCCTTTATAATAAACAATAAATAAATATAGACTCTTAATGAACAGTGAGGTAAACTAGATATTCAAATACTAATAACTACTTTATTCTTATTTATAAAAAAAGTAACAAGAATTCTTCGATCAAAAATACCTTGTTAATATAACTTTTCTAATACTAATATACTAAGTGATATATAAATCCGAACACCCAGTTTAAATGGTTTTATTTTAATAAAAGTTGGTGAATGTATTTATCTTACTGTAAATAAAAAGTGAAAAAATTTTCAGCCTTATCAGTTGGACATTCCGGTTTTTATACTGCCTTTTTTTAATTCACTAACGCTCTAAAAATGAATATTTCAGCCGCAGTAAAGAATCAACGTTGGCGGATTTTGGTTCTTGACATCCTTTACGATCGGTTACGACGCCTAGAGTACGGAGACCTGTACGATTTCGTCAACTTAGTGAGTTTGATAGGGGCCGTATAGTGGGACTTCGGGAAGCTGGACTTTCTTTTCGGGCAATTGCAGTTAGAGTGCAAAGAAGTGTAGACACTGTGGTTAGGTGTTGTCAGGCATGGCTTCGAGAAGGCCGTACGCAAAGAGCAACGGGCACTGGACGCCGCCGTAGAACAACAGACCGTGAAGATCGCCGCCTAAGATTATTGGCCTTAAGGGACCGTTTCTCCACTACCAGGTCCATTGCAAATGTTTGCAGAACACGGAAGACCTATTGGCATGCGAAGTGTTTACCGACGAATGAGAAGTTTTGGTTGTTTTCATACCGGCCACACTGGGTCCTCCCTTTAACTCGAGAACACCGACGTAATCGCCTTGAGTGGTGCAGACAACGGTCACTCTGGGATCAGGAATGGAACAGTATTGTCTTTAGTGACGAGTCTCGATTTTGTTTAGGCATGCACGATGGTCGTGCCAGGGTTAGAAGGCGACGTGGTGAAAGGAGGAATCCACAGTTTTTTATTGAAAGACATGTTCATCACACTGTGGGAGTTATGGTTTGGGGTGCTATAGCTTATGGTTCGAGGTCACCTTTAATCTTCATCAGAGGTAACATGAACGCGCAGCGTTATATCCACGAAGTTCTAGAACCCCATCTTTTACAGTATCTTGACACCCTGGCAGATCCAACTTTCCAACAAGATAATGCCCGACCACATGTTGCTAAGAGTCACAATAGACTTCTTTCAACATAATGATGTCACATTGTTACCATGGCCACCAAGATCTCCCGACTTATCCCCAATTGAGCACGTGTGGGATATGATGGGTAGGAGATTGCTCAATTTGCAACGTCCTCCTCAGACTCTAGAAGCACTTCGAGAGGAGTTGGTGGTTGCCTGGAATGAGATACCACAGGAGGACATTGACCACCTGATCAGAAGCATGCCTAGGCGCGTTGGAGAATGCGTAGCACATCAGGGTGCATCCACACATTATTAAAGGTCAAAGGGCTTTAAAGCAGTGCAATCATTTTGAAATTTTTACCATTTACTTATTATGCTTCATTAAGTACTTATACAAAATTTTATTAAAATAAAACCATTTAAACTGGGTGTTCGGATTTATATGTCACTTAGTATATAACAAGATCAGACACTTCAATTTTTAATTATACATTAAGTTTTATTCCCATAAATAAACAAATTTATCAGAAATACCTCTGTATAACAATAAACAACTTCCTGCCCGAAGTATGAGATTCTCCAGAAATCGCATACTTTCCAAAACATCCTCATCTTCATTGCAATATACGCAATTTGCGTAGTCTTTCTTTCCTTCTATTTTCAGGTAGCTGTCAAAACAACCATTTCCTTTGAGTAACTGTGAAGTATAGTAATATATCCGTATCCCTTGACAATCCAAGTTTCTAGGATCAGCCTTCTGGTCCTTGCACCATGTCCAGTTGCATCCCATCTCTCCTGCCATCTGGCAAAAAGCGCGTCTCTTTCGTCGTTAGTAGCCTAGACGCACTTGCTTTAGAGTGCACATGTCACCGCAGCCAGCAAATCAATTGGCGGGATACCAGCTACCACCAGCGCTACATCAGTCGCCAAAATCCTGCGCCTCTCACTACTGGGGCCTCCGTCAGATGGCATTAGCCTTATCAGAGATGCAACGTCCTTATTTACATTGTCAATGGTATATTAAGAATATTTAGCGGTGATCTTTTGAACTCCAATATCTGCTTTATGACAAAGAGAACGGCACATTTTGTTCATCTCGACGAATACTATAAATTACGTGGAGAGAGTTTTTTCAGTTTAGGGTACCCGTTTCGAATAAACGACTTCAAATATTGTTTCAAATGACTTTTTTGCGTATAAAGCGCGCTTTACGCTGTTCAGGATCTATCTTCTCCGAAGATAACGGAAATACGGACCTGGCGACTTTTGTATAAGAAAGCCCTTAATTCGGCCTCCCCCATAAATGATAGTGGTATATACTTGATTATGTTCAGACCTTACACCCAGAGACTTAATTGCATTTTGGCTCAGATTCTCGGCATTATCAACCGTAATATCCAGTGAGGTTAGCTTCTATTTGCCAGAAAGTACAACTACAACATACGGATGGTCACGATTGTCCTTTACATTTCTCAATCGTTTGGTACTGTTCCAGGCGACCGATGGCTGGTCTCGTGCCTGGGAGTGCTCTACCTAAACAAAGGGCTGTTCTACCGCGTGGTACCCGCTGACCAGTCATTCTCCGATGACCAGTATGCAGGGGTCTTCCGGTTCCGGTTATGGTGGTGCGGAGAGTGGACGGAAGTACTCGTGGATGACCGGCTGCCGGCCGTCCATGGAAGGCTGGCTTTCTTACAACCTCATCGTGGTGACCACTTCTGGCCCGGCCTGTTGGAGAAGGCTTACGCTAAGTATGTATTTTTTTGTTATTTATCGGTTCTGTTTAATCGCATATGTGATAAGTTAGAACAATATAAAGCTACAGTATATTCAGATAAGAGATAGACTGGACATAAACAAGACCACGTGATCATCGAACGCTGTAACCTTCGGCAGGGACGTATTAAGAGTCACGCAGTACATATTTTAGATAGTAGATGCTGCTTTGCGTAACTTTGTAGTAAATTAGCACAATTCGATGTGTATACGATTGGTGATGGATATAGGATCATGTGGGGGTGGGGTAAGAAATATATAATGATGTAAATATACATAAGGGTTTCAAAATTTTCGCTTCGATTTCCAGCTTCGGATGCCGCCTGATGTTTGGTGAAATACGGTCGAATATAATCTCAAAATGGCGTTTAAATTAGCCTGAATTAAAAATAATCGTATATCTCTTAAAATTGCTTTTAGAATATTGATTAGTATATTTTTTGATTTCTAGGTAAATATGTAACCAAATTAAAACGTTCAAAACGTAAAAAAATGTGCATGGTTGAACATTGTCAGAAAGTAGATTCTTGAATAGGTTTTGCCAAAATGGGTTCAAAAATGTCAATAATTAATTAAAAAATACAGTAGCTTTATAATTACTTATAACTTACCGAATTTGATGAACGACATCTTTTATTGGAAAGATGAGCTTGATGAGCTTTCATCATCGCTACTGCCTGAAGCACCAACGTCAATAATGAATGGCTCGACTTGTTCCTCTAAAATATTGTTCAGTTCCCACATTCTCTTTTCAACTTTGTCTTTCACGTGCTTAATAGTTTTCCCATTTTTGCGCTGTTATTAATTCTAGTGCTTCTTTGAAAAGTCCTTTGAGGTCACAAAATTTAAAAGTTGTATTGTGCTTAGCTATATAATTTTTAACCTCTGCCCATATGAGCTCAATGGGATTGAGCTCGCAATGGTATGGAGGTAAACGGAGCACAGATTTATTTTGACTTGCTGCCATTTCATTTTCATATTCCGCCTTGTGATCCTTGACAATTCTTAATAATTGTACTTTCAGCATTGCTTCTTCAAAGTTGATATTTTTCGAGCGGAGCCAATTTTGAACATCAACTTTCCTTGAAGCCGTTGTTGGGACCTTCTCCATTCTTCGAGAATGATAAGGCGCATTATCCAACACAATTACTGCGTTTTCCTCTAAGTTCGGTAAAATTTTTGAAAACCACTGTTCAAACGATTCGCCATTCATTTCCTCGTGGTAATCTCCAGTTTTCTTAGACTCAAAGCACCACAGACCGTCAACAACAAATCCATCCTCACTACCAATATGGCAGATAATGAGCCTTTTCCCTTTACCTGGAAATCGAAGTACTAACTGGTGTAGATTTATTTCAATAAGCGAACCTTTTTCAAATGTTCTCATAACATTCAGCGAAAAAACATTGAGACATGAGTATCAGATTGCTATAATTGGGATTATTTAGTCATATTGAAAGAAAGAATATTGAACGTCGTATGATTCTCAGCGCTTCACAATTTAATTTAAAGTTATAAACCTTTAAAAAATGAATGATCAGGAACCTGAAATACGCGCAAATATTAATATTAACAAATTATAACTTTATAAAGCTTAAAGTATGAATTAAAATGATTAGAAATATTAAGAACGGTACACAATATAAAACTTAGTAACTTTTTTTAAGTTTATAATATTCGACATATTTTAAGATTATATTAAAAAATTATTGAAATATCGAAAACACATAAAAACATGGCTTAAAAAAGTTCTAACAAATGAAAATGACAATAAAACATCCACGCATTTTATCGAAAGTTATAAAAGTTTTGTTACTTGTAATATGTTTTATCTGCCCCCTGGAATTAATGTTTAGACCCTTGTTCCCAAGGTTTGAAAAACATCCGATTGTTGTCTATTACTCGTATTTACCTGCTGGATTTTTTAATTCGGTGGACAGTCCATCTAGAAAGGCCCTCCTGGATGAAGTTACAGAATCATCAACCCATACTTTAATTGTAGTGTGTCCTGCGTTTACCCACGTTTCATCAAGGTAATAAATCTTCCTGTTTTGATTTCTATATTTCCCAATTTTTGTTAAATAATCCCTCCTCCATAGCACAATTTCTTCTCTATCCAGTAGTAAACTATTACGACTCCGTTTTTTCCATTTGAAATTTAAATGCTTCAGTAACGCATGGAAAGTTGATCGTTTGAAATTTGGCAACGTTGTATCTCCATTTACCTCCTGTAGTACTTTATCTATAGTAGGTATTTCATTGCTAAAGAAGAATTCATGCACTTTCCTCCTAATCGCATGCTTATCAGCTTCATCCATTGATTTAACAATACTTTTGCGATGTTTACTGGTCATTGGCTCACACATTAAACACTGATGCGCGACACACCCCAACTTTGTGAGAAACCTTCACAACAATTTCTTTGATGGTTGATGCCTCGTTCTCCTCGCGCTCGATCTTATATATATTCAAAATGACCTCTTTCATTTCTGCACTCAGGTGTCTTTTTTTAGAGCGTTTCCTAGGTGGACTACAGGAGTTTACAACTTTATCGGCAGTATCTGTACTACTGGGCATTTTACGCAAGTAGTTGATAACAATAACAATCAATAACAAGGTATAACAATAACAACGACAAACTCAACAACTTAATAAGATAACAAACGAAAACGTCCAAAGAAATATCAAATTGCAATGATGCACACGACATACGTAACACGTCTGAACCTGAATGTGACTCTGCCTTGATACGACTGCTCTGCCGCTCGGCATAGGCATTTAATTGCGAATTGACCAATGAGGGCTCCTGTTTTACGTCGAGACGGCGGCGTTAGCGTGAAAATCACCCGAACCTTTTGTTTACATCCGGTCTATCTCTTATCTGAATATACTGTAGGTTACGCACATATACGTATCTACACTGTATACATTATAAATATCGCGAAATAAAAACTATTATGGGATAACATAATACAAAAAATGTAGGAATACGAAAATGTAAAGGAGTTTTATGAGCAAACTGGAAAATATATCAAAAAAAACTGTTTTCCTGGCAACCTTGATATGTGTTCCACAACTTCGTGCTAAAGCAAAGATTTATTTTTTAATTGAATACCCTTATATTTTATTGTATATTTAGATAGAAATTCTAGAAGAAGTATGATATTATATACGTAACATATGGTTTCGACTGTTGGTTGTTTAGATACTAGTGAAATGTCTGAAAAATGTCCTAATTTGACGGCTGGCTGTTTCGCCATTTTTGAAGATATTTAAATAAATTTTAGGTCACAAGAACTTATTTATCCTCGATTTTAAGCTGATCTAAAAGACATGCTAAAATATCTTTCTATTTATACAGAGTACATCAAAATACGCTAATGATTTTAAAATACGCACCAAAACATGTCAAGGTTATTACAAAAACAGATTTTTCATATACGAGCCCCATCCCACTTCAGTTGGCTCACTTCAAGATTTGTACCAAAATATATTATGCCTTTATAAACTAAACATCACGAAACTATTTACTTCTAAAACAATTTATTTTCTCAAAAACATTTTAGATACACTCTAGTCGTAAAAAATACATATTTGGAATCACTTAGACCTATAACTAATAGAACTTCTGAACAAATAAACAATGTGCGAATAAATGCGCGAAGTTAACAAAGCAACAATTGAAAGATTACCATTGGGTAATACCACCTTTATTTTTTATTACGGCTGACATTCTTTGGGGCATAGTATTAACCAAGTTTTGGCAAAAATTTGGTGTAAAACAATCCCATATTTCTTGAAGCTTTTGTGTCAGTTCGGTGATTATATGAGCAGAATGTTGTCGTAGAACCTTTTTCATCTCGTGCCACAATGTTTCAATAGGTGACAGATCTGGACTGCTAGAAACCCATTTCAAAAGTGCTACATTATTTTCTTCCATCCATTTTATAGCCTTTTTTGAGGTATGGCCCGCTGCACCATCTTGCTAAAACACAAAATCTTGGCCGGATGTCAAACATTCTTCCATAACTGGTGAAAGCGATTCTTCTAAAATTGTCAAATATTTGTTTGTATCCACATTTCCATCAATAAAATGAAGTTTTCCTACTCATTTTGATGACATACTGCCCCAGACCATAATGGATTCTGGAAATTTCACTTTTCTCTTCAGACAGTCAACATGGAATGCTTAATTTGTTTTGCGAATAACTCTACTGCGACTGTCACCAACACAAACTTCGAATCGGGCCTTATCACTCCATTGTATTGCACATCATTGTCTATGTTCTTTAGCCCATTTAAGCCGATTTTTCTTTTGCAATTGAGTTAATAGTGGCTTTTCTTTGGCCTATAAACAAGTTGTGGGTTTTTACTTCACTTTTTTTTATAAGAAAACTTACCTTGCAAGTGCTAAATCCCAGTTTGTGGACCTCTCTTTGAGTTGTGGACCTCGAAAGTCTCCTTCCAACAGCGTCACTCCACAGAGCAATTAATTGTAAATAATTGGCACGCCTGTTTTTCACGATTATTCTTCTTAATGCTCTTCGGTCGGCATTTGTGATATTACTTTTTTTCACATATCGTGGCTTAATATCAACTGAACCAGTTACATTATATCTTCAAACAATATTTCTCACACTGTACCGCGATAAGTCTAACAAAGTTGCAATTTCTGAGTTTGATTTACCAGAATTAAAAACTTTAATTATCAGTAACCGAATTTTCTCACTAATAACCTTTCCTCTACCCATTTTGAAAACCTTATCTACCCAAAACTATTATAAACGTATTCTGACAGCTGTGATTAATAAAAACAATTGTCATGCCTTTTATTTTTCACAGCCACCTATGCGTTATAGACTTATTTTTCATTGAAATGAAAATAGGTTGATATGCTGTAACTGCAACATGTGTTATTTTTATGCTGCAAATTTGATTAGGGAGTGATAAAGTTGGTGTTTTCTACTATATATTA